ATACTGTTATTGAAGTATAGCACACTATACTTCAATAACAATACGGCATACAAAAGAGCGCACAAATCATAGGCGTACAGCTCAGTGAAAATGTACAAAGTGGTGTAGCCACCACCCAGATGGTGAAGCTTCCAGAATCCCCCCTCGTGCCCCTACCAGCCACTCCTCCGCACCCAAGGGTGACCACCACCTTGGCTTCTCACAGTACAGATTAGCTTTGCTCATCCTTGAACTTCATATAACATGAATTACACAGTACGTCCTGTTTTGTGTCTGGCTTCTTTGGCTCTGCATGTGTTGGGAGGTTCACCTGTGTACTCGCGTGTAGCCGTGGATTGACTATTTGCATTGCTGTGGAGGGCTCCAAGAATGACTGTTCCACGGCATGTTTATCCATTCTGCTGTTGCTAGACATTTGGGAAGTTTCCAGGTTGTTGCTGGTATGAATAGTGTTAAGAGTCCCCGGGTGGCACAAATGGTTAAGCGCTGGACTACTAACCGAAAGATTGGTGGTTCAAACCCACCCAGAGACACCTTGGAAAGGTCACAGCCTTGAAAACCCTATGGAGCAGTTTTACTCTGCACACATGGGGTCGCAATGAGTTGGAATTAACAACTAACAACGATAACAGTGCCCTGGTGGTGCAGTGGTTAAGAGCTCGGCTGCTAACCAAAAAGTCAACAGTTCAAATCTACCAGCCACTCCTTGGAAACCCTATGGGACAGTTCTACAGCGTCGCTATGAGTCGGAATGGACTCAATGGCAACCGGTTGGGTTTAGGTTAACCACATGACAAGCAAGGATGGTGAGACTTCCTCTCACATACTTTGCACATGTTATCAGGAGGGATCAGTCCCTGGAGAAGGATATCATGCTTGGTAAAGGAGAGGGTCAGTGAAAAAGAGGAAGACCCTTAATGAGATGGATTGACACAGTGGCTGCAATAATGGACTCAAACATAGCAGTGATGGTGAGGATGGCACAGGACCAGGCAGTGTTTTGTTCTGTCGTACATGGGGTCGCTATGAGTTAGAACTGACTCTACAGCACCTAACAACAATAATAACATGAATTTGTGCCGCTATGAACATTCTAGGGCATGTCTTTTAGTGGACATATGTCCTCATTTCTCCTGGGTATATACCCAAGACTGGCATTGCTGAGTCATAGGGTATTTGAATGCTCAACTTTGACAGAAATGGCCAAACAGTTTTCCAAATTGGTTGTACCAATTTACACTTCATGCAAAAGAGGATGAGAGTCAGAGTAGTTTCAAATCCATATTGGTGATCCTGGCAACTTTCTAAAACCTCTCTCAGCCTCAGTGTTCTCATCTGTAAAATGAGGTTACTGACAGGACACAATGGAGAACCACTAGCTTCACCCTGCCAGAGGCTCAGGCGGTGACAGGTCGCTCTTCTTACCTGAAAAGCTCTGGAGCTTTTAGAAATTGCTGCAGGTAACCCTCATGCTATAAAACTCAATGGTCTACTCAGGAAAAATCCATTAAAACAACTTATATGTCAGTTCACCTTGCATGATGCAGGCTTCCTGTATGACTGTCTCTTCACACCCATGCATATGGCACTACTTCCTGCTTCGTATTAGCTGTCATGTTTGCCTTTAAGATGCAAAACAATACCAAGCACAAATATCATTGATATTTGGCGAGTGCTTTGAGAGACCTCTCCCAGAACCTCACACACCCATCTCCTTGCATCTTCAGTCCTTTTTGGTTTAATTATATTGTCCATATCTTGTCAAGTTAGAAAATCTTGAAGGTACTATAGGCAACCTGTGAAGGATGGTCCACTGGTATAGAATGAAGAATTTATATAAAGATACAGCATCTTTCTAGAATTTCTAAATGAACCCAAATACTGATGTGTAGGGAATTAACTAGGATTCAACTAGCTAAAGCTTGAAAAAATAATTGCCTTCTTCATCCACTGCCCCTTCCTCACTCCCCCTGTCCCTCCGCCCAGTCTATACATTGCTTTGTGAAAACTCAAGGGTGTTTTGGTACAACCACTTTGGAAGACAATTTGATGCCATCTTGTAAACCTGAAAATACATATACCCTGTTCTGTTGTTGTTAGGTGCTATCAAGTCAGTTCCAACTCATAGCCACCCTATGTACAACAGAATGAAACACTGCCCGGTCCTGCACCATCCTCACAATCCTTGTTATGCTTGAGCCCACTGTTGCAGCCACTGTGTCAGTCCATCTCTTTGAGGGTCTTCCTCTTTTTTGATGACCTTCTACTTTACCAAGCATGATGTCCTTCTCTAGGGACTGGTCCCTCCTAATAACATGTCCAAAGTATGTGAGATGAAGTCTCTCCATCCTCACTTCTAAGGAGCATTCTGGCTATACTTCTTCCAAGACAGAGTTGTTCATTCTTCTGGCAGTCCATGATATATTCAACATACACCCTGTGATTCAGCAATTCCATGCCTAGGAATAATCCTACAGCAATACATGCTTATCTGCACCAAGAGTATCTGAGGAAGTAATGTTTAGTAGCCCCAACTGGAAAAAAACCTCAAATGTTCATCAACAGGATAATGGATAAACAAATTGTGCATATTCTTTCAATGAAATACTATATAGCAATGAAAACGAATCAGCTACAGCTACATTCAACAACAGATGAATCTTAAACACCTGCTTGAACGAAAGGAGCCAGACACCACAGAATACATACGGTCTGGTTCCATTGATATGAAATTCAAAAGGAAGCAAAGCAAAGCTGTATTATTCAGGAATGCATATATTATTTAGGAATGCATAATAAGTTAGCAAAACTATAAAGAAAAGCAAGGATGTTCATCCTATAAAAGTCAAGACAGTGGTTACTGCTGGAGGGAAGGAGAGGGGATATATGTACAGGGGGTGTTTCTGGGGAGCTAGCGATGCTCCATTTCTAACCCTGAACCCAGCTGATGAGTGTTGGTTTTGTAGCAGTTTCTTAATCTGTACAATGATGTTTTATGTGTTTTTTGGTGTGTTTATTCAAGTTCACTTTATAAACAGGAGGGTGGGAAATAAAGGCATTGGCTCTAGAGAGAAGTGAGCATCACGCAAAATATGCCTCCCAGAAGCCCCATCCAGCCCACTAGGATCTGGTTAGTGATTTGCTCCCGATAGTTAAGGTTTGCCCCTCTGGGGTCTCAAAGGTGGGGTGAACTCTATTCTAGCTGGCAGGGTCCCTGTGATTTTAAAATTTCAAAGAATTACCCTAAACCATTCTCCCAGCTTTCAAAAAATGTGTTTTGCTCAATAGACCAGATTTATTTAGAGATCGACTAACTGCACCTCAAGACACAATCCCCTTCTCTACCTTTAAGTTTTGTCCTTCCTTCCTCCTCCCCTCTCCTTGCAAGATGCTGGGAGCTCAAGGTTGTCAGCAACCTAACTGGAAGCGGTGGCAAACAGGGTTTCCTCCCAGGCCGCCCGAGGGGAGGGGGACTCTGTCCCCACCCTCCCCAGTCCCCCTTCCCGCCTCGCGACCATCCGACTCTCCCCCACAAACTCGGGTGAGTCCGGTCCGCCAGCGCCTCCGCGATTGGTCCCGGGCCATCATGTGCCGACACTCTGGGTGGGTCTTTCTCCCGTTAAACTCATCAATTGCTCCTCTTTAGAGCTTCGCTGGCCAGTGGGTCGGACCTTTGGGCCCATTTTTTCCCTTTCTCCCTCTTCCCTCACCCCTCCACACCAGTCTTATTTTAGCAAACCCAGGCGGAGGAGGAGGAGGCATTTCGAAAGGGGAAATGCTAGGCATTGCAGCACCCAGGAGCAACTATTGAGTGGCTAAGCGAACGGCGCATACCTCTCTCTTTTCCCTGTTGGGAATTTTCAGGATTTCATTGCTGCAATTTAACCCCAAGATGAGACATGGTTGAGCGGAACGCTGCGCGCACACACACACTCATACCCTCATGAGCAGAAGCGGCAGTCGAGGGTGATTCAGGAAAAAAAAAAAAAAAGCAAAAACCGAGGACCCTGCGGCTTCAAGACACCTTAAGAGACCTCCGGAGCGCTTCCCTGCCCCTCCCCCTCTTTCCTTCCCCGTTAATATTATTTTTATTTTATTTTTTTGGCTACAGATCTTTCAGCATTTTTAAGCTCTAGGAACTCAAGCGAAACAAGAAAGGGGGATTTTTTTGCCCCCCGCCCCAGCAAAGACCTTGTTTTTCTTTCTTTCTTTTTTTTTTTTTTT